GCCCGGTCTGCAGCGTTTTCCAAACCCGGCGGGTTTGGAGGCGACCTGTCGAGGGCAACACTCAATGACCTCGTATTGGACTTTTTGAAGCTCCAATTGGGGTATGGGGAGAGGGAAATCTCCGTCAGCAACGAGGTCGGCATTTTATATGACCCCGATGAGACGGACAATCTTGGCAAGAAGCTGAGCGAACTTGGTAAGCGCAACAAGTTGTACGGCACAACATTTCAGGTCTGACATTGCCATATAGGTATCAAGCCGGATTCGTTCTTGACAATCACGGACGAAGACGACGAGGATCCGTACGTCAACGTGGTGGTCGCCATTCAAGAAGCGTATGTCTCCAATTACCCATATCCTTGCATACCCTGCTAATTCTCCGATAGCAAGGAGCCCCTTGACGACAAACCCATTCGGGGCATCTCATCCGGAGAGGTCAAGATTCCGACCAAGCCAAAGAAAACACCTGCGCCAGAGGCCAATGGCCGGAATGGACATGGCGTCGAAAATGGTAGCAGACAGCAGAGCGAAGGAGTATCCGAGGTGGTACCGGCGAAACGCCCACACCCGGAAGACTCGGAGGATATCGCAGTCGCCAAGAAGGCAAAGACGGTGGCGTCACCCGCGGCTAAGGATGATGACATTGTTGTCCTCGACCATCCCGCCGGGGGTGCCATCGTCATTGACGATGATTGAGGCCTCGTGGAGTGCTGAGGTGGCATAAAAACTAGTAGCTGCTGATACCGTAATAGGGCGGCAGTTCGGGCGACTGCTTGCCGCTTCCACTTCCTTATGGCGCTAGAAGCTGTTGTGCATCGAATCTGCAGTTTGGGCGCTCGTCTTTTTTTATTCTCGCCACTCCCCTCAGACAGCACTTACCCCGCCATCCAGGTTGAGGATGCAGTTATTGGCATACTCGTTTTTGGCGAGGAAGGCGACCGCATCGGCGACCTCGCTTGCGGTCCCGAAGCGCCCTAGGGGAATCCTTTTTTGGAGTTCTTTATTCGCGAGGCCTTTAGCATGGCGACGGCGATGGCATGTGAGGATTAGCTTGGAGCAATGTATGGATGGAAAATTGGCTGGGGCGTTCTCATAGCGGCGGGGGATGCCGTTGCTCATTTACGAGCTTGAAGCCAGAAGGGCAAAGCCGATGGCTTATGTCGTGAGGCAATGTAGGGATTTACAGGAGAAATGAGAAACATGAGAACATACCCTCGGTCATATCGGTTTCGATGTACCCAGGCACCACGGCATTGACGCGGATGCCATGCTGGGCGAGTTCGAAAGAGAGCGCGGTTGTTAATCCTGATCATCGGCCTGTAAGTGTGTACCCTCCCACGCTCAGAGGAGTAGCTGGAGGTGAAACAGTGGTGCTGCCATACCTAGCTGGCCCGCTTTGGTAGCAGCATAAACAGATGTCCCAATGACCGCCTTGTGCGCCAGTAAACTCGAGATATTGATGATGCAACCGCCACGACGCCGGGCCGCCATCTGCTTGGCGACCGTCTTACACCCAAATATAACGCCGCGCAGGTTGCTCGCCAGCAGATTCTGGATGGCCTCTTGACTGGTGCGGAGGAGCAGAGAAGACTGTGACTCGCCAGCGCAGTTTACCAGGTAGTCAATTTCCTTCTACAACACCGAAGGGTCAGCATAACTCTCGTCATTATCGCCCCCGCCCTCTCTACTTCCACTCCGGGTCATAGCATGATAGCTGAAACGAAACCACCGGAGAGAAAAGTGAGTGCATTGACTAGGTAATAGATACGTACATTCTCCTTCACTAGCCCCTCCCACTCCTTCCCCTCCCCCACATCCAAGCAGTGTATGCCGTGCAACTGGGGTATTTGGAGACCCTGCGGCCCTCCGGTTGTCTCGTGAAGTTTTGCGAGGGACTGCTCGAGCTTAGACCTTGTTCGTCCAGCTAACACAACGTGAGCGCCTTCTTTGGCAAACCTCGACGCGATAGCGAAGCCGATGCCGCCTGAGGCTCCGGTGATGACAGCTTTTTTGCCTGCTAGCGCGTAGGACGTCATGGTTGAAAGCCAAATCTCAATTTCTTGCTTGCTGTCTTACATGATATTCCACATGTAAAAGTGCTTCGAATTGTAGGAAACATCCACCAAATGCTACATTGAGCAGGGATTCCAATGGGGAACAGGGATGGTTATTCTAGGGTCAGCCAGTTGAGAGGAGTGGGCCGAAGCCGAACGTGCCACGAGTGCCCACCGATGGTGCAGAACGACGCCAAGACGAAAGACCAATCACGCTGGATTTCGTGGGTGGCCGCCTTCGAGGTTGGACGATCTGAACAGGCGTCTCCCGGTCGCCACGGACCGAGTTTTCTTATCTCCCTCACCTCCCGGAGTCGCGCGGATCCCGTCAATGTCTCACGGCTACCATCGCACCGAAACCCGTTCGATTGCCTGCCTGCCGCTGAGGAAACCGGTCATTTCCGGGGCAGAATTGGGGAGCACCACCTGCCTCGGCACGGCTCCGATCTCATGAATCCACCCGACCGTAGCGCTGCCTCCGGCGCAGTGCTCCTCAACGGCACCTCGACCCCCGCGATTGTCGAAGGAAAGGGACAGAATGGCGTGGTTGATGCCGGATTAAAGAGCCAACACCATTGTATGTCCCCGTGTTGCGTCAATTAAAGCGCCCAGGTACCCATCAACAGACGGGACAGCCGAGTCCTTATCATCACCCCTCGCGAACCCCCTGATTGCCCCGCCTCGAATCCCTCGTTCGACCTGAGCAACTGAGCAACTTGGAGCGACGAAAAGCTCTTGCTTAGCACGCACATCCGCGGGCAATGGCGCTGACAACCACGACTAGACAAGCGAGCACTCCCGAAATGGCGGTACGACCTGCGCCAGGCTCTCTTGCCCATCGTGCGGTGGGAGACGCCTTACCTAGCCTCCTTCCAGAGCATGGTCCGCACGCCCGCCCTCGATAGCTACTTTGCCATCACGGCCAACCTCGGCACACATACTTTCTTCATGGTTGGGCTGCCGATTCTCTTCTGGTTTGGCTTCCGCGAGTTCGCTAAGGGGTAGGGAATCACCTCGAAGAGGCCACGAGTACACCAGCGCTGACAAGGCCTCCTTACCTAGACTCGTCCACATCCTGGCTTGCGGCGTCTTCTTCACCGGCTTCATAAAAGACATGTGCTCGCTTCCACGCCCATTATCCCCGCCACTCCAACGAATCACCATGTCCGGTTCGGCCGCCCTCGAATACGGCTTCCCCTCTACACACTCGGCCAACGCTGTCTCGGTCGCCGTCTACGCCGTCCTTATGCTCCACCGCGAAACCAACCCCTTCTCCCCCTCGACCACCCTCGCACTCGAGGGCCTCGCCTACTTCTACGCCCTCTCCATCGTCATCGGCCGTCTGTACTGCGGCATGCACGGATTCGCCGACGTCATCATCGGTTCGCTCATGGGCGCCGCCATCTCGCTCGTCGAGTTCTACTATGCCCCAGGCCTCGAAGCCTGGCTCTACAACAGCGAATACCTCGCGCCACTAATCATCGCCCTAGTAATCATCGTACTCGTGCGCGTGCACCCCGAACCCGCTGACGACTGCCCCTGCTTCGACGACAGCGTCGCCTTCGCGGGCGTCATGATCGGCCTGGAGCTCGGCATGTGGCGCTTCGCGCGCTACTCGAGCATCGCCCCCGTCTACAACGGACCTGACGCGACCTTCGACCTAGCCGCGTTGGGGTGGCAGCGCGCCGTCGCCCGCCTCGTCTTCGGCGTCGGCATGATCTTCGCCTGGCGCGAGGTCATGAAACCGGCCCTGCTGCGCTTCCTGCCGCACCTGTACCGCGTCATCGAGACCCACGGCCTCTCGCTGCCGCGCCGCTTCTTCGTCCCCGCCTCCGAGTACAAGGATGTGCCCCTGCACGTCCGCGACGATAATGTCCTGCCCAACGTCAGCGACCTGCCCAAGCTGGTGCGCAGCTTCCGCGGGCCTGGCAGGGGCCGGTCGGTGAGTATCGGCCCGCAGAGCGCGGCCGATGCGTACGAGACGCTGGCGTACCGCGAGCGGAGGCGGAGGGAGAGCCTGGGGAGCGATGCTGGTGGTGGGTTGAAGGGGCGGGAGAGTGTGAATGGGTTGAGGGAGAAGGCAGTTGTGGATGGGGAGTGCTCGCAGGCTTCGGGCGTGCAGAGTAGTAGTGGTGGGAGGTTGGCGGAGTTTGAGAAGATGATGGGGACGGGGAAGGTGGTCACAGCGGACCCCGCCGCGGCGGATGGTGCGCCGGGGACTGATCTGTACCTAGGGCAGCAGGACGAGCTGGGTGAGAAAGAGGTCTTCTCGAAGCTGGTGAAGCCCAGGGTCAGGTATGATGTGGAGGTGGTGACCAAGTTGGTCGTTTATGCCGGTACGTTCCGTCTCTTCCCCTCCCCGTTTTTTTTTTTTCCTTGGCGGTTTCTGGCGGGGCACTTTTGCTGACGAGTCACACGCACACACACAGGCATTGCCTGGTTGGCAGTGGACGGCGGCCTTCTTGCTTTTGAGGCTGTTGGTCTCTAGGTGTATGATGATAAAGGATGTCTTTTTGTGTTGTATCTACCGTTCTTTTCTTGTTCGCTTCTTCTGGTGGCTTGAGTGATGCTGGGTTTTGCACCTCGCTGCCTCGGTAATGAATCACCGTTTTTTCCGATGACGCCGTCGTGGTTGATTGGACGCTGGTTTGTGCTTCGTTCTTGGGTTGCTTTTGGGAGTAAGAGTATGGCGGATCCGGGTAGAAGCACGAATCTGGCGGATCTGGGGAAGGGGATGCTCGTACGATTCCCGAGGCCGGCCCGGGCGGAGCCTCCTGCAAGTCATCGGGAAGCTCATCGATCCCCCGCACGGCAGCTGTACCCCGGCGATGCCCGGCTCAGGGGCAGCCGGCTCGTGTTTGGTCTAAGAGATCTTATCTAATCTGGAGTCAACCCGATTTGCGGCTGCCATCGCTCAGCTGCTGCGGGTTTGACCCGGAGCTTTTGATTTCATTGCGAATCGGGGATTTCAATGTTGATTCGATCTTAAGTTCTTGGGATCAGAAATACCCCCTACCCTTTTTCTTATGATCACTCTTCAATACCTAGGCATCTCCAACTCCAACCTCCCTCTTCGATGCTTCAAAGACTGCAATCCACTGCTGCAAACCACATTCACCCCTCGGCATCCATTCTTCCCATCTGTAAAAAGTCTAAGCAATAAAGTACGGGCGTCTCTCTATTTGATGATGCCGTCCTCGACTTTGAGAATTGTCTGACATCATCAATTCACCTCATCAAGCCACTCCTCTTCATTTTCCAAGAAGCGCGAGCCGTTGCGGGCGACGGATCGGATGACTCCTGTCAAGAAGCCAAATCCCTTGTTGCCAGGGGGAAACGAAGCCGCAGAGCTTGCCATGACGTTCGGTGGATGCTCAGTGCAGAAATGCTTCTCCGCGATTCAACCGGCCCAAGCAGCCAATCGCAAGGGTGGATTTGTGGAGGACCGTGCAGCAGCTCTGCCTGGTCAGGCCTAGCGCAGCTTGGATTTGACGACGCATGTGGCGAGAACCCTGAACTGTTTGCGCTTGCCATCTCCCTTCCATTCAACCCGACAACGTGAAAGTAACTTCAAATCCGATCTCGAGTCACACAACCGCGACCACCTTTCGAACTCGAGGGCACTACTGAAAACTGGGCGATTATTTTGTCTGCGCCGTCTAACTGTGCCAAAAATTCCAAACCGACATTACCGCGCAAGACGATTTCTTAGTGGTTTTATGGCCAGTGCTTTGCCCGCTGAAACCAGCCGTCACAGCGCTTTTCCCGTTCGGTGTCCGCCCGCATTTCCCCTTTGCGCAGGTCCTTCTAGGGAGTGATCAGCCCAGATTCCTTCCAAGTCGACCCATCGGCAAGCTGCCCAGGGCCCGTCTATCCCAGCCCCCGCCTACAATCCAAACGACGAAACCTCGGGGCTGCCGAATCCAAGTCCTAATCTTTCACACCTGTCATTCCCCAACTCGGCATTTGCGACGCTCGGCGCTCCGTCGATCTGTCCCACGACAACCCGGCCTTCGGTTTATTTCAACATCGCACTTCGACGTTATCGTCATCCCAACCGCAAAATAGGACGCATGTAGCGCCCGGTACAATGTCCATCGAAGCGATTGGCGCTTCGGCGCCCGCCGTGGCCATGGACGTCGAACTGCCTGCCGTCAGCCCCAAGCCGGTCGCCCTGCATTCCCCGCCAGATAGTCACAACGCCGTTGATGCCGACGGTAGCGATTCGGAACTCAGCGACCTCGATGAACTCGCCGGCAAGTTGGATGATGATCTCGGGGACGAGTTCAGGAACGAATTCAAAAATGAAGTCAAAAACGAGCCGAAAGAAGAAAAGCCCCAGGACACGCCTCAGGAACCGCCCAAGGTAGAGCCTGAGTCCGAACCACAACCCCCGCCGGTGGAAGATATTGGCGAGGTTCTCCCCGATCACTGGTCTGGCACCGTGCCCGTGTTTAAGCCGACCATGAAGCAGTTTAAGGACTTCAAACTCTTTGTATGTTGGCGCATTTCCGATTGCAATCCAATCCCACCAAGACACTAACAAATGGAATCCAGATGGAGAAGGTCGACAAGTACGGCATGAAATCCGGCATCATCAAAATCATTGCGCCTGAGGAGTGGAAAAAGTCTCTACCCCCGGTAGACGACTTGATCAAGCAAATTCGGGTTCGAGAGCCGATCAAGCAAGAAATCATGGGCTCCAACGGAACCTATCGACAAGTCAACATCCTTCACCAACGTTCCTACAACCTGCCACAATGGAGACAGCTCTGCGATCAAAGCGAGCATCAACCCCCCGCGAGGCGAGGCGAGCGCCGCGCAAATTCAGACAGAAAGGCTGCTGCTAAGTCTCGTGCTGCCGCCGAACCAAGTACCCGATCTGCCGCAACCTCGACCCCGCCCAAGAAACGAGGCGGGGGAAGAGTCACTCGAAGATCGACCAGGTATGCCAAAGAAGAGACTGAAGAGCCAGAGGATCGTCCGATGACGCCCGTCTCACCAGCGCCCGAAAAGGAGGTGTTAAAGTCCGTGGAGGCGGAACCGGGCATCGGGGACGAGGACTACGAAGAAGAGGATGGACCTCCGGTGGTACGAAGAATGGGGCTTTCCAGACAAACAAAGCAGAAAACTCAATCCGTGTCGGCTCGCCGGAAGTACATGCGCCGCGAAGGCTCCGCTATGGTAGACGAAGCTGCGTTCAAGAACTGGGATTACCGGATGGATGTCTCCGATTTTACCCCGGAGCGCTGCGAGGAATTGGAAAAAACTTATTGGAAGACGCTGACCTACGCGCCGCCGCTGTATGGAGCAGATCTTCCAGGCACGCTGTTCGGCGATTCGGTCGAGAACTGGAACCTGAACAACTTGCCCAATCTCCTCGACGTTCTCGGCACGAAGGTTCCCGGTGTCAACACCGCGTATCTCTATCTCGGCATGTGGAAAGCAACCTTTGCTTGGCATTTGGAAGATGTCGACCTTTACAGCATCAACTACCTCCATTTTGGCGCCCCAAAACAATGGTACAGCATTTCCCAGGCCGACGCTCGGAGGTTCGAAGCCGCCATGAAAAACATCTGGCCCACTGATGCGAAAGCATGCGACCAGTTCCTCAGACACAAGGGGTTCCTCATTTCGCCATCGCACCTAAAGCAAAATTACAACATCACAGTCAACAAATGCGTCTCATACCCGGGCGAGTTTGTTGTCACATACCCATACGGATACCATTCTGGATACAACCTGGGATACAACTGTGCCGAGGCGGTCAACTTCGCCTTGGACAGCTGGTTGCCGATGGGAAAGATCGCAAAAAAGTGCCAGTGCGCCCAGGCACAAGACAGTGTTTGGGTCGACGTCTACGAAATCGAGCGCAAGCTTCGTGGAGAAGAAACGGAGTACGAAGAGACGGACGAGGAGGACGAAGAGGACGACGACGATGACCAAGACACTGGTCTTCCGAGTCCTCCCTCTAGCCACACAGTTAGAGTCAAAGCCCCCGGTCGAAAACGCAAACGGGGTGCCAACGACAAGGAGCCACGGGTCAAGACTAAAAAGATTCGTCTCCGTCTCAAGTCGCACGTTGAGCCGCCCTGTTGTCTTTGTCCCAGCGATATCCCCGGGGCCGAAATCATGCCCACGGACGATGGTCGCAAGGCCCATCGCATGTGTGCGCTTTACCTACCGGAGACATACATCGAGACAGTGGATGGCAAAGAGATCATTGCGAACGTCGCTGCTATTGACAAGGCCCGCTTGGAGCTCAAGTGTCTCTACTGCCGGTCCAAGAAGGGCGCATGCTTCCAGTGTTCTCAAAAGAAATGCCCGAGATCTTACCACGCCACGTGTGCAGCAGCAGCAGGTGTCTTCGTGGAGGAAGAGGAAGTCCCGGTATTCGGCGAGGACGGGACGGAATACAAAGAGCAGGCGTTCGAATTTAGCTGCCGGTTCCACCGAACTAAAAGGGACCGAAAGGCGGACGGGGGTGCTCTGGAGAACAACGCCCAGCTCCGCGCGGCCGCAAAGGCGCTCAAGAAGAACGACATATGTCAACTACAGTACTACCGTGGAGAGATATTTGCGGGTGTGGTGTTGGAAAACCGCCATGACGAGGAGACATTCCTTCTCGACATCATTCCAAATGGGTATGTCTACCGAGATAAATTATGTGGACTTGGACTGACAATCAGCAGTGATCGGGTCGAAGTCGAATGGAAGTGGCTGCTTCTGCCCGACCCAGCAGACTTCCGTCTTCCCAAGGCATCGGCCAATGCTATCCCCATGCCGACCTGCAGGAGGGCACAAAAGGAGATCAACGCCAAACGGGCTGTCGATGAAGCGCCAAGAAAGGACGATGAGTTTGCTCCTGGATTTACTTGGGCCGAGTTCCATGCCGGCGAGCCCCTCAAGAACCCGACGCAGATCAAGATCGACTTCACCAAGGAGAACCAGGTCTGGCATTACCTGGGCAAGACATCTACCGAGGCGAAGGCCCAATACACTGAGGATCCGTCTCGGCCGCGACACAATCCCAAGGGCAATTTCTTGGACACTATACCAAAGCCACCACCTCCGGTACGAATGCCAGTGGCTCATCAGGCAAGGCAGCTTGTACCTGGGACGTACCCGGGCTACCCGGGCTATCCAACCACCAATGGGGTGTTGTCAAATGCCGGAACTGGCAAGCCACAGAAGCCCTACGTCTACAAACCCCGGAATCCGGTTGGGTCAACCCTCGGCCAATATGGTGCTCAGTTTACTTCGCACACATTTTCTGTCAATACACCCTCACCGTCCCCGGCGTTGCAGCAGTTTCAGCCTTCCCGCCCTTCTCAGGTGGTATCCCGGCCACCACAGCCAACATTCCATAACCATGTGTTTCATCAACATCCTCAGCAACATCCTGAGCAGCAACGTATGCAGCACCACATGCAACAGCAATCTTCGCTTCAGGTGAAGCAATACCAACCACCGGCATCGGACCCCCAACGCAAGGGTTCATCGGCACTGTATTCGCCGGATCGGTTTGCGCCCATCGGAGGTAGTAATGGATTCCCGAAGCTTCCCGGCTTATCCTGGCCCCCTGCTCACATGAAATCAGGGCAATCTGTTCAGCCTCAGTCAAGAGCCTGGCCTTCGCCAACAGGCGCGGCTGCTCCGATGACGTCGTCAGCCTTGAAATCCCCGAGTGTTAGCAACCCGCAGCCTGGAGGAGCAGGAGAACAGCCATACGTCAGCGCGTACCAGAAGTACGCCTTTTTCCAGGTCAATCACAACAGGTAAGCTTTCGAGTTCCTAATTTGCAGAGCAATGTTAACACGCCAATAGGGACTCGTCGAGGTACCGGACCCCCTACGGCCAGTGGGGCGGCTTCACAAACGGGTACGAAGGGAACCTCCGAGACTTCCTAGTCAAGGCCCAAAAGGCTTTATCTGGAGGTGGCAGTTCAGGTGGCAGTAAAGGTCCGATCAAGCAGGTGCCCACCTCGCTTCTTCAGCCCTTGCGGCCACGCGTCGATGCGTCTCCAACGAACGCACCTCCGTATGCGCAGATTCTCCCCCGGCCGCCCGCCCAGGCCCCGCAAGCCACACCCCAACACTTAGCGCCAGGCGCTCCTCGAGTACCGCAATATCAGGTATCGCAGTATCATAGCCATGGGTACCCAGCCCAACCTAGGCATGACGGCCAGGCGTTCGATCCAAGGCAACCTAACGCAGGCCCGCTGCACCCTGCCACCCGACCGCAATACGATGCACCACAGCCGCAACACGGGGGCCAGCCCAGCCACCACGTCTGGCAAGCGGTCCCACAAGCCCCTTCACACACATCATCACAGCCGGCGCACACACCAATACAAGGGAAGCCGCAGTTTACAAAACAAAGCCATAGCCCAATTCCGTTGCCGCCGTATGTAAGGCAGATGGCAACAGCGTCACCGGTGGCTCTTAAGCAGGCGGCTCCCGGCCGAACTCCTGAGCAAGGGGGCCCACACATGGCACCCAAAGACTCGTGCACGACCCTACCAGCATCAACACGGCCCCTGTCGGGAGCCAGGTCAACCCCGGCGCCAGCTCCGAACTTGCAGGCACAACAAAACCTAACGCAAGAAGGTCAATGGGCACCGACTGGTAGTAGCCAAGCGGGCTCAACGACGGCCCCAAGATGGACATCACAGGGTGCAATGGCGACTCCAAGCCCAACAAGCCAGCAACCACGAAACAGCTCGGGTTGGGCACCACCACCCCAATCCCAGCCACAGCCAGCTCCGCCGGGGGCCGCCGTCTCCCCGGCAGCAGCCGGCACGGAAGACAATTCCGCACTAGTAGAGAAGATGATGATGAATCTCCGGAGGGCAAGCCAGAACTTTGGCAAGGTGGAGCAAGGCAAGAGTTTGGCTGAGCAGCCGGGCCAGGCGCAGGCTCATGCTGAGAGCTAGCCTTGAACGGCGGTGCAAACCCGAGCTCAGTGCTAGGCGTAATGATGTATTATGCCAACGATTTACATTCACTCGGCAAATATGGCGTCGCTACGGAATGGCTAGGCTTGGGATTCAAGTGTGGGATATATCCTTTTCATTCTTTGGCGTTGGCAAACGGGCGGGTATCAAGGTGTGGCGATCAGGGCCAACTACTATTTCTGAGCTTTTTTGGAGTCGTGCTGCCTAGTTATGTATCAACACTCGCAGTATAGCTGAGCCTCGCCCCGTGCCTCCGATACGCGGAGCATCACGAGGAAACCACAGCAAATGTTGTACGCTACATAGATGCACTGCGTTTGTGAGATTGCGGGAGACGGTTCTGGACATGAGTCCTGCTCATCATGCCGGGAAAGGCTGGCTCGAGACTGGCAATAGCTGGCAGGCTATTTTATGCGCTTCTCATGCGACCTCGACCACGGGGTCAAATGTGCAAGGGTGTCCCATCGCCAGCCTTCCAACATATCAGTCGAGGAATGGGCCCCAGATCCAGGCTGAACCTGGACAAGCTTGAAAGTTAAAACAGATGTGGAACCCGACGACTTGCAACGGCTCAGAACGGCTGCGGCGCGTGGGGCAAATGGGCCGAAGATGGAGGGCGGGGACCGGTGGCGGCTGGCTGTGCGGGTTCAGGGGCTGCCGGAAGTGACGTCAGTCGACGTCCTGCGACACGAGCTTTTGTCTCTGGCTTCCGATTTCTTGATTTTTGAGGGGAGGGATGGGCTGGTATAATTCACTGTCGTCATTCTATATCTGAGTTGAGCGTTTAGTACTTGTATCGGACAATTCTCGTCTTTGGGCGTCCCACCTAATCCATCCAACCATTGTTACCGTGACCAAACCTAAAGTCATCTAATCGAACACAAGTGTTAGCAATTACGCTGTATCCCCACCCAAAACCATAACACTTATTGCTACACCACCCACCAGCCACACTCGAACATAGCATCATCACCACCAATCTATACCCCAAACCAAAAACTAAACTCAAACCAAACCCCAAAAACCAAACCAACCATGCCCACCGCACTCGGCCTCACAACCGACAAATCCCCACACGCCCAAAAATCCGGCGACGGCCCGCACGTCTCCTCCTCCACGACCATGGGCTCCAACGCGCGCCTCGACACCATCTCCAAGCGCAACCACGCGGCGGCGCGCGAGATGGAAACCCTCCTCTGGCGCGCCCTCTGCGACGAGCCCGAGACGCTGCGCGAGTACCTGGCCCACGACTGCGTCATGATCAACCCGCTGCTGGCGCCGCGGGGGAGCTGCCAGCCGCTGAGCAAGGATACCCAGCCGAGCGTGGTGGATGTGTTGCAGGCGGGGGCGGGGAATAAGTTTCGGGGTTTTAGGTTCCATGGGGAGCCGTTGGTGGTGGAGGTCGATTTGATGGCGGTCGCGTTGGTGTATAAGATTAGTTTGTTTAGGCAGGGAAGGAAGGGGGTGAGGGAGGTGGTCGCGAGTGTGGGGAGTACGTGGAGGCAGACGGCGGGGGCGGATTGGTTGTTGGTGCAGTTTCATGTGGCGTATGCGGATGATGATGAGGAGGAGGAGGAGTGAGTGAGGGGGGTTGGGTGGGGGTGAGAGGGGGGTGATGGAAGTGGTTGGGGGGCGTGGTGGTTTGTGTGGTCTTGGGGTGGTGTGGTGAAGTGGCTTTACTATTGTTGGTCGGGTTGGATGGTTGGGTAGTTGAGCTCTTTGGTTTAGATATAGCTTTTCACGGACACGGGCTACTCTTATCATCTTTAATGCACTATATGTATTCACCCTTTAGTATCTCGACAGCACCTAAATCACGTTCATAACCTCCGAATCCAGTGGCAACTGAGCTCGCGGCGCTATTCGTCGAAATTGAAACCTGGAATGTATACATTTGTGTACCTAGTTGACTGATACTACCCCAGGAAACCGAGTGTGATTTCATTTCCTTTGAATCAAACCTCGTTTGTTACTCGGTGTGCTGTTGTAAGCTTGTTATTTAATTAGTACGCTTCAATAAGCTTGAGGAGCCCAGTCAGGGCAGCAGGGAAAACACCAGGTCGAGTCAACAATGCCTATACAGGTAATCACAATGGCACACATTGTCAGCTGATCGCGAAAGGTTAGCACTCGGTAGATAGAGACCATATCTCTCCCGGACGCCTTGAAATCCTACGCCATTCAAAGATAAGTACAAACATGGCACCTATACCTAAGCAGTTGGTTGTGGTCAAGTAGTTGCTCTGTGACTGTGATTGTAGAATCGATAGCTGGGAGTCCACGAGGATCCTGCTGAAGTGTCTGGATGTCGGACCACCTTTCTAGCAGCCCCAATTCCGTTATTATAAGCATGTTGGGAATTATTGGGTTAACAACTCCTAGTCATCGCTGAAGAATGAAGCCCGCGTGTCCTCATCGTAACGCCATCGGTTTTGTAAAATACCCGCAGGCCAACGTATCGAACATAGGTAGTGACTTGTTGAGAATGCCCGTCTTTCAAACCTTGTGGTCAGATAACTGGGGTAGTTATTCCCTTGCCCAAGATAACCAAGTCTGGTGGGCAAAAGTACCGTTGATCTCAGGTGATTCGGCTCCTAGCAACTTAGCAAGCATAGAACGGTGAAGAGGATGGTGTGCTGTCAGCTTGCTGAACCATTGAGGTGAGTCAGCACATCACGTAATGCTGTCGGCAGTAACAAATAGCTCACTGGGCGAGTTACCCAACCATCGCTCCTATCTTTTACGCCTGAGTTGATTCGTCAGAGTGACTCGATGTTGGCCAGGCAGAACCTAAGTAAGCCGCTGGAATACAATGGTAGTTCACTCGTCTCTTAGAAATTGTAACATTTGGTCTGGCGCATGCCGAACATAGCCAATGATGCCATAATCGTGATCTCGGGCCGTGACATAAGGCCGGGGGGGGTGAAACAAAACAATCACACGCCATAGCGTGGGTCGCAGCGTTGTGTAACGTCGAAGCGGTCTCGTCATGGGGCACGGAACTTTATATCTACTTCGCCCTGCCATCGGGTCCTAGCTTCGGTTACATCCATTCATCTGCGCTTCTCTGAAAGCCCGGAGCGGAGTTACGATGCATCTCCCGCGAAATCAGCACCTAAACGCCATGTATGTGAGTTTGAAAACGGCACGTCCCCATCTGATAGGGTCGACTTGATCGTGTGGTAGCACTGCTGGACGCTTTCCCATAGTGGGATATGGCAAGCATCGAATCGGGCCAACACAGAAACCCAATAACATCCAGATTCAGGCTGAACGCTACATGTGGCCGTGGAACTACCCGTTAAGTGACCTCCACCTCGATCTGTACCGTTGGACGGCACTGCGGTTTCGGCACCGTCCCCCCCCCCCCTAGGCATGAGACCGCCCCTCCCAATGCCGTAAGTGTACTAGGCTGTCTTACCTCCTCGCAACGGCACACTGCCGTGTGCGTTCGAGGGCACGTTCCACGGGTAGCGGGATCCTTGACCCCTTGTAGACGCCTTTCCGTCGCTGCAGGAGGGAGATCGGCGATCTGCTACTGGTGAAGGAGCCGCGACGCCATTCTCCTGGTTGGTAAAGTATCATACGAAGATCTTCAGGGGCAAGGCACCAATATGTACAATCGATGGTAAGCCGCCAGTTCAGCGTGCCTTGTTACCGTCGTGGTGCATGTCATGATTCAATTCGCGAAAATCTTTGCTTCACCCAGACTGACGGGACGGCTTTGGTCTGTAATTGTAGAATAGCCAGGGAACCGAACCTCAGCCAGAGGGGCATGGCTGTCTGCCCCCAACCTCTACCATAACCACATGCCAGAAAGTCCATAGCCTAGTCCGACATCGGAATTGCCGAGCACCCAAAAAATGGACCAAAAAGCAACCTGAATGATATCGGAAAACGCCCACTCCGACACGCCATTGATTTGGCAAACATTTCAAATGCCTGACCCCGATAGGCGCCTTCACCGAACTCGAAGGGGTGGGTTCGATAAGCCTCGGACTTGCAGCTGCGTCTTGTGTGGTTCCGATGTGGACCGGACCGCGTGGCACATCTCCCCGCCGCCTGCTGAGCAGGGTTATTGGGAAAGCCATGCCGAGGTTCCCTCCAACGGCCAAGCTTGGCACGGGGAGCCCTCTCGCTGTTGCTTTGGGGGCGCATGCTCCGCTTGCTCACGCCCGCCTGGTCCGAAAGTTAAAGTTTGGGTTTAGGCTTGGTGGGATTGGGTGGGCCTGATTGGCGCCTTGCGCGGCAGACGGGGAGGCGCATAGTTGCGCTAAGCTGTGAATGGAATACCTCGGATAAATCGCCGATAACT